CACATTGGCCCGCTTTTTCTTTCTGCACGTGCAGCTTTCTTCGAAATGCAACTTAGCACTGCGCTGTAGATCTACGTCTAAACTTCGTTACATACTACGTCGACCTTAGCTATCTTACAACTGCATGGCCCCTCTTTTCCTCCTGCAGATAGACGAATGTTTAAATACATTACATCGTTCACGATACGTGGACTCACCTTGCCCGAGTAATGAGATTGATGCTTGTAAAAGGAAGGCGCCGAGTGCAAGAGCTCTGTTGTGCCAGCTGTGAGCACGTATCTGCGGGTAGTCCTTTGCGCACATTTTTTCCAACGTGGTTATACTGCAAGTGGCAGCACATGAATCTGAATTAATGCCACATGTGCTCCTCTTATATCCCCTCTCTGACATTGAGATGAGAGATAGGCCATTTAAGATGCATTGGTCACCCACAGGCATAGCTCAACACGTGTAAAACGGACGCCTGCAGACAAGCCACGGGCGAAGACGACGCTGCATCAAGTGCGTAGGGCAAAAACCAGCCGCCTGCAGCCTAGACTCCGTGTGGCTCTCTCAGCGGCTCTCTCAGCGGCTCTCTCAGCGGCTCTCTCAGCAGCTCTCTCAGTGGCTTTCAGAAGCTCTCAGCGGCTCTCTCAGCGGCTCTCTCAGCGGCTCTCTCAGCGGCTCTCTCAGCAGCTCTCTCAGCGGCTCTCTCAGCAGCTCTCTCAGTGGCTCTCTCAGCGGCTCTCTCAGCGGCTCTCTCAGTGGCTCTCTCAGCGGCTCTCTCAGTGGCTCTCTCAGTGGGGCCTTCTTCCCCGACAGAGCGTCCCAGTGATTGTAAATGCTAACAGGAGGAGGCCCAATGGGGAAACTACCAACAACACGTGGCCCTCTCCGAACAGTCACAAAGCCATCACTATCCTGGTCTTGTCCCAGCTGCGGAGGACGGGCTGGGAGGCTAGGCTCGCTAGTTCTCCTCTGCCTTTCCCTAAAGCTGCGCTCCGCTGTCCCTGAGGATACGGCCTGGCTGTAGCTAATGCTAGCGCTAGCTCGAGACTCCAGTGCTCGGAGACGCAGCTCTAACTCACTGACCCTGGATTCCAGAGCTACGACTACACTACACTTCACACATCTATCACTACCCTCAGAGAAGGATCCAGGGTTTAGACTCGCCATATGGCAACTCGAGCAGTAAAGGATTGAGGGAGAGACAGCAGCCGCCATAGTAGCGAGTTAGCGGCTAGGCTAGGCTAAGCTAGGCTAGGCTAAGCTAGTACGGATCCGGGCCCGCACAACAGACTCCGAGACCAGACAAACAACCGCTACCTAAACCTCAGCTACAGTACAGCTGACTCGGAGTGCTTACACAGTTAGCTTGGTGTACAATACGTGGATTTGTAATGTGTTTGTTAGTGCAAACAGAGAGCAGAGTGATAGCAGTCAAGAAACACGCTCACCGGATACAGGAAGTCACCGGATACAGGAGGTCACCGGATACAGGAAGTCACGTCACAATGACAAAAAGTTTAGTTTTACAGAAAGCAAAAATAGCCATGTATGCTGATGACACAACTATTTATTCATCGCAAACTACAGTTGGAGAGCTGCAGACCGTCCTAACTGAAGAATTAAAATCTGTATATGACTGGGTCAGAAACAATAAATTACTCTTAAACGTTGGTAAAACAAAAAGTATTGTGTTTGGAACCAGACATATGTTGTCACATGATCCTAAGTTAAAAATCACTGTGAAAGACTTAAATGTTGAGCAGGTGCATGAGACCAAGCTTCTCGGAGTACAGCTCGATAACAGACTGTCCTGGTCCAACCACATCAGTGCTGTAGTTAAGAGAATGGGCAGGAGTTTAGCCATGGTCAGACGATGTTCTAGTTTGTTAATTCCAAATATGACTGTAGATGTAATAAAAACACTCGTACTCTCACAGTTAGATTACTGTTCAGAGATCTGGTCGTGTGCTGCAGAGTCACATATAAAGGCTTTACAGGTCGTTCAAAATAAAGCTGCGCGATGTGCTCTTCGATGTAGATATTGAACCAACACCAACTGGATGCACTCTGTGTTATCCTGGTTAAAAGTCAAAGAAAGACTGAAAGTCACATTAATTAATTTAACAAGAAATATAATTTTAACCAAAATGCCCAATGTTCTCCATAAAGAGTTGAGTTTCAGTGCAGAAGGCCATCATTATCAAACCAGACATGCAAGTGAGGGTAAGTTCAATCTGCCCAAAGTAAAAACAAATTATGGACAGAATACCATCACATACAGATCCATGTGTGTTTGGAACAGTCTGCCCTCCGATATCATGAACGAAAATAATAAATATCAATTCAAATTGAAATTGAAAAGACTTTTCCTAAACATTGGCGCAGTGGATGCTTGAATGTTGTAATACCTAAGTGTGTATTTCATGTTTTCCTTGTCATGGAAATATTACATTTGAGTGTTGCATTTAAATCTTGCTGTCCACTGTTACTGAGATTGCATTCATACTAACCAGGTCCTCCGTGTGTGCGTGTGTGTGTGTGTGTGTGAAAGTGAGTGGATGTTTATGTAAGTTAAATTTTTGTTAGTATTATTTGTTTTGTTGTATTCTGTGTTCTGTTGTTGTGTTTTTAATGTAATAATTTCTGTTTTTCACATGTGACGCCAAGGAGCGAAATTTTCAAAATGTATGTGAGACAGCGACTCTTGTACAAATACAAATACAAATACATTAATACTATAAATGAATGGACACTGGGAACCTGTTAAGGGGCTTCTTGTTTCTGGGGGGAGGGACATTCCATGAACCCACTCTGACCTTGAATAAATAACGCAGCGTCGGTCTCTGCGGGAGCGTTCTTAAGGATGGCAGCGTTTAATTGGCTGTCACTGCCGGTTGAACTGAGAGACCTATCTGTCACCGTGCACTCTTTAATGTCAGGTGATGGGAAGAGCTCAGCAGCGGAGGTTTGTGCAGAACTGTGGAAATACGAAGTCCATGGAAATAAGGAAATATGAAGAAATAGAAAATAAGGAATAGTATTGTGCTTTATTTGCTCAGAGCTGTATTAGTTTTGTGGAAAGGTAAATTATACAATGTGTGTACCTTTTGGCTATTCCTAAATGTGTGACTTTTTATATACTTATCTTATCTTGTCTTATGCACTGCAAAAAAAGATGACATTTCAAGGTAGTAATTGCTTGAATCAAATGGGGGTTTTTCACCTGAGAACATTCTGTCTTAAAACAAGATTCTCCAATGGGACAATCCCATTTACCATAGTCTTAATTCGAAAACTCATTCCATGGGAGTCATTTCTTGTGTTTTAATGTAACTTAATTTTTCTTTACATTCTCTTCAGTGTGAATCCTTAAATCCGTTTTGTTATGAATAAGCAACTCTTTGTCTTAGTCCTGGTCTGATCTTACTTTGGACTTTGCATGTGTCTTTGTCTGGTTCTCGGCTACAGTTCTTTTAAAGCTGGCATTCCCCACCGGTCCTTTAATAAGTTCTGCAAAAAAAATGTGTATATTGCTCCATCTGTATGATTAGCTTGCTGCGGTCCAAAAGAAATACTACTACTTGCTGCGGTCCATGACAATGCAATTCCCCGAGGTCGTGGGTGAACTGCAATTTATTTTAATGTGACACGTGGTCAAAAGCTGACACAGGCCTAAACCACATGACCATCTTCCCCACTGTTGTCCTGGATCGACGGTATTTCAACACGAGTCAAAACATAATTAAAGAGGTTTTGATCCGGGAGATGTTTGGAGATTCCTTAACATTCATGGACAATGGTCATTCAGCCAACTATCAACCAACGGATTCTATTCATTCATTCATTCAGATTGTGGAGGAGTGTAAGTTTCTTGGTCTAACTTTGTCCAACGATTTGAGATGGGACAACAACACTAACCATATTGTTAAGAAAGCTCGCCAACGTCTAAACTTTCTGCGGAAACTTAGAGAATTTACAAATAACTCTAAGATTTTGCTGAACTCTTACCGCTGCACCATAGAAAGCCTGCTGCTGGTGCGATCACCGTGTGGTTCATCACTGCCAAAGAAAAGAGAGCCCTGAACAAAGTGGTTCTGCTCAGAGGACTGTGAACCGTGAGAAGCCCGTTCTGGAGGCTCTGTCTGAGAGCAGACTCTTGAACCGAGCCTTGAGAATTGTAAATGACTCCTCTGGTCATCCTGGAGCGGCCTTGTTCCAGCCTCTTCCCTCGGGGAGAAGACTCCGGTCCGTGCGGTGGACCACCCGCCGTGCCAATAGCTTCTTCCCTCAGGCGGTTATAAGACTGAACAGAGCGTCCTGAGATCTGCTTCTCTTGGAGCTCCATCGTAGCGTCTCGCTATTTTTATTCTGTGTGTGTGCTTTGTTGTGTTGGTGCCCCCGGTGTCTTTATGATCATGAATAGAAAACTCCCTGGTGGTAGAAGTGGAAATTTGCATTCTGATTTTGCTAACGCTAGAGCTAACAAAGGCTCTGATTGGAGGATAACAGCCAATCACCTCGAGCTTCTTCGTCTTTGGACGTGATCATGGTCAAGCAAAAGAGCACGACACAGACAGGAGCTGACCATTCACAGGAACCACGGGTGACCTTTAAAGATGTGACATCACCAGTGCCCCTGTACAGTTTATGCAAATCAATGCTAATTAGTCGTCTGCTTCACTGGGTTTCACTTATCCATCCATTCATCCACTCCCTCCTGCTGTAGCCGTGGGCGGGTCACGGAGGCCGTCAGTCTCTGGCGTCAGTCTACGCAGAGACGCTCTGACCTTATCCCAGCTCTTCCTCAAGATCCCGGGAATCCGACTCGTCCAGGGTCTTCCTCCGGGTCTCTTTCAGGTGGGACATGCTTGTATCATCTCACATGTGGATGAAACAGATGGCCAAGACAACTCAATAGGCTTCTATCAACGTAGAGAAGGAGAAGCAGCGGCTCTATGTGGAGCTCTCCCCACTCTGCGAAGGAAACTCAAATCAACAGCTTGTATCTGCAATCATTTCTCTGTGGTCAGGACCCGAAGCACCTGACCCATAGCTCCTGACCCATAGCTCCTGACCCATAGCTCCTGACCCATAGCTCCTGACCCATAGCTCCTGACCAATAGCTCCTGACCCATAGCTCCTGACCCATAGCTCCTGACCAATAGCTCCTGACCCATAGCTCCTGACCCATAGCTCATGAACCCATAGCTCATGAACCCATAGCTCCTGACCCATAGCTCCTGACCCATAGCTCCTGACCCATAGCTCCTGACCCATAGCTCCTGACCCATAGCTCCTGACCCATAGCTCCTGACCCATAGCTCCTGACCCAAAGCTCCTGACCCATAGCTCCTGACCCATAGCTCATGACCCAAAGCTCCTGACCCATAGCTCCTGACCCATAGCTCCTGACCCATAGCCCCTGACCCATAGCTCCTGACCAATAGCTCCTGACCCATAGCTCCTGACCCATAGCTCATGAACCCATAGCTCATGAACCCATAGCTCCTGACCCATAGCTCCTGACCCATAGCTCCTGACCCATAGCTCCTGACCCATAGCTCCTGACCCATAGCTCCTGACCCATAGCTCCTGACCCATAGCTCCTGACCCATAGCTCCTGACCCAAAGCTCCTGACCCATAGCTCCTGACCCATAGCTCCTGACCCATAGCTCCTGACCAATAGCTCCTGACCCATAGCTCCTGACCCATAGCTCATGAACCCATAGCTCATGAACCCATAGCTCCTGACCCATAGCTCCTGACCCATAGCTCCTGACCCATAGCTCCTGACCCATAGCTCCTGACCCATAGCTCCTGACCCATAGCTCCTGACCCATAGCTCCTGACCCAAAGCTCCTGACCCATAGCTCCTGACCCATAGCTCATGACCCAAAGCTCCTGACCCATAGCTCCTGACCCATAGCTCCTGACCCATAGCTCCTGACCCATAGCTCCTGACCCATAGCTCCTGACCCATAGCTCCTGACCCATAGCTCCTGACCCATAGCTCCTGACCCAAAGCTCCTGACCAATAGCTCCTGACCCAAAGCTCCTGACCCATAGCTCCTGACCCATAGCTCATAACCCATAGCTCCTGACCCATAGCTCCTGACCCATAGCTCCTGACCCATAGCCCCTGACCCATAGCTCTTGACCCATAGCTCCTGACCCATAGCTCCTGACCCATAGCTCATAACCCATAGCTCCTGACCCATAGCTCCTGACCCATAGCCCCTGACCCATAGCCCCTGACCCATAGCTCCTGACCCATAGCTCCTGACCCATAGCTCCTGACCCATAGCTCCTGACCCATAGCTCATGAACCCATAGCTCCTGACCCATAGCTCCTGACCCATAGCTCCTGACCCATAGCTCATGACCCAAAGCTCCTGACCCATAGCTCCTGACCCATAGCTCCTGACCCATAGCTCCTGACCCATAGCTCCTGACCCATAGCTCCTGACCCATAGCTCATAACCCATAGCTCATAACCCATAGCTCCTGACCCATAGCCCATTGTTGTGGAAACTTTTTGAGCTTTAAAATTCTTTTTTTTAGGGTTTGAGTGGACAATTTGTAGAGGAGGTACAGTATTGCATTATTACTTGTTGTTAGCATGGATGGAGCTAAAAACCATTCCAGGTATGTTTTTGAGAACAACACACAGAGCCAAACTGTGGTTGTGTCCATAGGCAAGACACTTCACACACATTGCCTAACATGAGTCTGGTGTGGCACATCCTTGTTGCCTCGCTTCTGTCAGTGTGCCCCAAGGCAGCTGAGGCTACAGTAGTAGTTTATGGAGCGATTGAATAGTGACATGAAGCGTCTTTGAGAGTCCAAAAATAAAACATAATATAAATCAAATTCATTATTATTATTATTAGCAACATTCAAGTTGTATTTGCGCACGGAATGTGCACTATGAATAAATCTCCTCCCTTCCATTCCTGATGTAATGCTTAAAACGCAACCTCAAGTGACCCGATCCAATCTCACGGTAACCACCATTTTCTCCAAGTGCACAGTCAAACAAACAACTTTATTATTGGGTTGTCAATCAATCAATCGCCTTTTCACTGCAGATCTGAGTCTCAAAGCGGTTTACAATTGTTAATTTTGGGCATTTGTCTCTTACTCCACACAGAGATGGGAGCGGGGCCAGTACAGGAGGCACATGTCAGAACCTACTGGACATATTTTTAGTGGTAGGGAAAACCGGAGTACCGGGAGGAAACCTACGCAGACACGGGGAGAACATGCAAACTCCACTCAGAAAGGCCCTGGTCCGACCGGGATTCGAACCCAGGACCTTCTTGCTGAGAGGCGAGAGTGCTATCCACTCAGCCACCGTGCCGCTCAGCCAAGGCTGTTGCCCCAGCCTTGTTACTCACACACACACACACACAGGCAACACACAAACACAAACACACACACACAGGCAAACACACAAACACACACACACACACACACAGGCAAACACACAACACACACACACACCCAAACTCACACTCTCACACACATAGACACACACACACACTCTTAGGTGCCATTTGGTGATTGGCTGTGGCGCCTGTGACCCGTGGTTGGTGGAGCCGGCCCGGATCCCGCTGTGAGAGCCTGGACCTGCGAGTCTGGACCTGCGAGCCTGGACCTGCGAGTCTGGACCTGCGAGCCTGGACCTGCGAGCCTGGACCTGCGAGCCCGGACCTGCGAGTCTGGACCTGCGAGCCTGGACCTGCGAGCATGGACCTGCGAGCCTGGACCTGCGAGCCTGGACCTGCGAGCCTGGACCTGCGAGCCTGGACCTGCGAGTCTGGACCTGCGAGCCTGGACCTGCGAGCCTGGACCTGCGAGCCCGGACCTGCGAGTCTGGACCTGCGAGTCTGGACCTGCGAGTCTGTAGCTGCGAGCCTGTAGCTGCGAGTCTGGACCTGCGAGTCTGGACCTGCGAGTCTGGACCTGCGAGTCTGGACCTGCGAGTCTGGACCTGCGAGTCTGGACCTGCGAGTCTGTAGCTGCGAGCCTGGACCTGCGAGCCTGGACCTGCGAGTCTGTAGCTGCGAGCCTGTAGCTGCGAGACTTTAGTTCTGTGGTTTTGTTGTAGTTTGACTTCCTGTCCATTTACTCTGTGTTTACTGTCCGTCCATGTTTGTTCTGTTCCATCCTGTTCCTGGTTCTTTTACATTTTTGTTTTTACCTTTTATTCAAATCATCTTCATTAATTAAATCTTTATTTTTGCATTTGCACTTTTTGGGTCCTCCTACTCTTCACCACACAACACTGTATACTTTTTAAACTGCATTTGACCCATCCTGATGCCACGGAGTAAGTAAGTAATCTATATTTATATACTGTAGTGCCTTTCACAGACCAAAGCTAAGGCTTACGTCAGGAGCAGTGGTCGCCATAGTAACAGCACCCGAGTGCCCATATCCAGATGTTGATGCTCTGCTTGGTCAAGACCGCAACTGGAGGATTACCAACTGTACATGATTTGGTAGGGGAAACTGGAGCACCCGGAGGAAACCTACCCAAACAACAAAGTAGGGATTTTATGTGACCCAACACTGCTTAGCCACTATAATTCTCATTTTAATGTATACTGTAAGGATTAGTTTAAGTATGCACCATAGAGGACAAATTGATAAAGCCCGATCCTTCATTCCATTCTTTAATAAAAACTTCCAATATTAACTAAATAACAGTACCAAATCCTTCTCCTTTCGTCTCCCCAGGCCCATTTCTTTTGTCTCTGAATCGCTGTAATCAGAAACACATTCTTTTTTTACCTTTTTACACGAAACATCAAAAGACCCAATTATTGCACCTGCTTTTGGCGCATTACCCACGTTTTGTTGCACTAATCCCAGTGTTCGCAGGTGGGCCCACAACACAAACTGGATTAGCGCTTTAAAAATAGCTCTTTTGTTAGTTCTGCGTCGCTAATTTCTCAGCAATTTACAGCACGAGTTTCCACGGGGAATTTCTTATAGATGAATAAAGTAGGCTAATTTGAAATCTATAAATAACAATGGAAGAAAACATCAACACGGGAACCGCAATGAATAATTATCATTTTGAAAGGGCAGAAGTGACACCGTTTCCTCGAAAGCACAGCGGAAATCCAGTGTGAGAGTAATTATAACGACTCTTTTGTGCATAAGAGCATTATATTCTTAATTAAGCTTGTTGCTGTAGCTTCCAACTCCATTATTGTTTAAATACTGTCTTTTTTACCTTAGTGTACAGCCACGGCTTTAGATTCATATTATACATTCAGTTTTATATCTTAGATCAGTGACTATTATTGTCAAAAAAATATGACTGACGTGTTCAGAATTTGATACAGAAATAAGACCAAGCATACAAAACATTTAATTCTCTTTACAATCAAACATTGATACAAAACTATATTATAACTATAACTAACCCTGAGCCGAGCCATTCTAACTGTCCCTCCAGGCCTGAAAGTGTACAGAGAACATCCAGGCGCTCTGCCAGGCTCTCTGTCTATCCCTGCTCAGACTAACAAAATGTCCTACCAAAGGTTTTATCAAAATGTGAAGTCCTGGTCCTGGTCCCGGTCTGGCCTAGTCCAGTTTTGTGTCTCAGGCCTTGTTCCGATAAGAGAGACACGCTGTTCCTGAAAATGATACTTTTATCACAGAAGCCTTGTCCTTGGTGCTTCTCTGAATTCCACTAAATCCAGGCTTAATATTGACAAAGACATTTTATGCAAACACCTCATGATAATCATTAGTAAACATTTTAATTCTACAACACCTTTTTGAGTCATAGAATTTGAGCACTTAGCTAATGAGTAAGCATCGTTAGACCTGCTCTCCAACTGAGCTATCTCAACAGACAATAGGTCAGTGGTATGCTAATGAGGTAGGATCGTTAGACCTAGCAGGATCGTTAGACCTGCACCTAACCACATTTTAGCAGACTTTAGATGGGTTAATGCTGGAAGGTCAAAGTCAAATACATCATAGGAAAAAAAAACACATTTTCTCCAATCCGAGGGCCGGACTGGTTCAATGTTCATTAAAACATAATAAAATGATGCATAAAACCTGTTGAACCAAGACCTAGCACAATGGACCGTATTTTACTACTATTGTATGGCTCTGTCAGTCATTTCAAGTAAAAGTATTTTTCAACAGACTCAAAACTAAACTTCCTTCAAAGAGAAAACACACATCCTCAACAATACACCATCCATCCATTTTCTACCCCTTAATCCATTTGTGGGCCGCGGTGGCTATCAAAAAAACAAACTAAGTTATTTCTATAAAGCTACTGATTGTTTGGAAATAATAAGGTCAGCACACTCCTTTCAAGGCTTTAAATAGTTCAGTCAAAGTGGAGAGTTTTTGTGAGGCAGAGGTGGTGATAATGCACTGCAGACACAGCACTAGCTCTATGTCAAGGCCAGTTTATCTGTATAGCACCTTCATATTTATTCTGGGGTTATGCAAATGACTGCCTCTTTTATTCACCAGACCCAACCAGAAACAATAAACCAGATTATAAATATGTTTGCCTTTTTACAGTCCTCCAAGATAACCGCTGTTGTGATTTAGTTGGTACAAGACACAGTATATTGTTACGAGCAAGGCCTTATGGGGGGCCTGGGCCTTTTCCTGTGTCTCCGTCCTGCCGCTCCTGTCTCCTGTGTGCACAGGGGGGACCAGTTGGCGTTGAAGCAGTGGGCGTGTTCGCACACGCAATCAGCGCACGCGCATATAGCCTGGAGGATAGGTGCACGCGCGCTCTCTGCGCGCTCCTGAGGGCCATTCCACTCCTGCCCTGGTGCCTGTTGCATCGCCTCCCTGGCTCTCCTTCAACATGCACTATTGAGTTTGTCTTTTGGTTTATGCACCTACATTCATATCGCACATACGGCGCCCTCACTGCACACAAGCATTACCTGCACCTACACCACTGACTTCTACATAACACACCCCATATTTACCTTTTTGTATATATTAATATTTGTTATTCCGTTCTCTCAATTAAATATACTTTTGAGCACTTTAATTCCGCCTCGTCTCCCCTATTCTTGTTGTGGCTCAGAGCCAAGCCATAACAGAATTGGGGGCTCGTCCTGTTGAATCCGCGTTTTTTGAGTAGTATTAGTCTAATTTGGCATTTTTCCGTCATCCCTTTTGGATTTGGTTTGAGCGCTTTGTCTCATTGGACTGGTTATTTGTGGCTTTGTGCCGTTTGGAGAAGTCCGTGAGTTTGAGTGACAGTCTTGGGGTGATTCCTCACTGACGTCAGTGCCGTGTATGGTGTTGCGGGTTGCGCTCTTGGGGGGGACGTGCCGGAAGTGTTTGGAGGTGCGGAAGAAGTTTTGTGTTGCTCCGTGTGCTCTGGGTTCAGGCCGCTGCGGCGGGTTAACAACTAAGGTAAGTGTATAACTTCTAATGTACTGTGTTTAAAGACTGGGAATCTCTGCTAGGCTTAGCGAGTTTCCCTCTAGGGGATCCTTCGCATTGGTGTGTTTAGTGTGGAAGTTAAGAGCGGGTCGCAGCTTCCCATTTCCCCTTTCCCTACATCGGCTCGGGAGCGCGCCGTGGTTACAGGATTGCCAGCTCGGTAGTCTTGTTTACCAGCGGTATCTGGCGCATAAGAACCCATCGCCACGCTTCCCGAAGACTAGGGTTGAGCTTAGTCAGCTTTGGGGTAGGTAGTGAGTGGGATATCCCTGTCTTTTGTTTTACATTGGTAAGATATCACTTGGTGTGTTGTTTTGTAGCCATGGAAGGAGTCGTTGAAGATTTTGTTGAATCTCCATGTCATTCTGGCTTGGATATTTTCACAAAGAGACAATTGATTGCATTGGCTGAGCATTATGGAGTGGACATTGGAGATACTAGAAGGCTTAAAGACGTTGTTAAGTCTGAGTTAAAGTTTAAGTTGATTGAGAGGGGAGTTTTGAAGGAGGAAGAGCAGCCTGCTGCTGCAGCTTCATTGTTTTGGAAACCATTGCAGAGTTCTAATTTGTCTTTTGAGCAGCAAAAAGAGCTGCTAATGTTACAGTTAGGTCTTGAACAGGAGAAAGAAACAATGAGGCAAAGAGTAGAACTGGCTAAAATTGAAGTGGAGCGTGAGAGACTTGAACTGATGAGAACAGGAAGGTTTGGAAGTTTGAGTCAAGGCGAGAGACCTTCAGGAGAACATGGAAGTAGAGATGAACTGAGTGATTTGAAATTGGTTCCAAAGTTTAATGAAAAAGACCCAGAGACGTTTTTTTCTTTGTTTGAGCAGTTATCAGAGGCACGGGGGTGGTCTGATTTAACATGTGTGCTAATGCTACAATGTGTTTTGACGGGCAAAGCGCAACAGGCTGTGTCTGCTCTGGGGAGTGTGAGAAGTTCCAGTTATACAGATGTTAAGGCCGCTGTCTTAAAAATTTATGAACTGGTCCCTGAAGCATACCGTCAGAGGTTTCGTGGGTGGCAGCGTGGTGAAAAGTCACATTTGGAGTTCATGCGTGATTTGACTACACATTTTGAGAGCTGGTGTTCTTCAGCTGGGGTGAAGACACTTTGTGATTTGAAAGAGTTGATCCTGATGGAGCAGTTTAAGAACTCTGTTTCAGAGCGCATCTCTGTTTACATTGGTGAGCGTGGGGTAAAAACTGTTAAGGATGCAGCGGTACTGGCCGATGACTTTTACTTGACTCATACTATAGGTAATTCTCCTGGTGCTGGTCTGAGTTATCGGGAAGATGAGCCTAGGTTTGTTCCAAGAGCACCTGAAGGGGGGGGCTAAAGGTGGCAGATTGTGGCGTGACTCTGAAAAAGTTTGTAACTATTGTCATAAGAGGGGTCACTGGAAGAATGACTGCTACGCATTAAAAGGCCGTTCTAGTCAGGGCTCACCAGGCCGAAAGCCTACTATGTGCACTGTGTCCGCGGCAGGTCCGAAAGTGTCTGAGGTTACTCCAGAGTTGCAGTCATTTTTACCGTTTATTACAGAGGGTTTTGTTTCTCTAGTGGGCAGTGATGAACGGGTGCGTGTTAGGATTTTGCGCGATACTGGCGCTGGTGACTCGTTTATTGTAGCCTCGGCCTTGCCTTTTTCTTTGGAAACTTCTGTGGGCTCAGATATGCCTGTAGTGGGAATGGGCCTCCAAGTTGTTAATGTGCCTCGTCACAAAGTTTTGCTGCACTGTGATTTTTTCCAGGGAGTAGTGACTATAGGAGTGCGTCCTGCGCTGCCTGTGGATGGAGTCTCACTCATTCTTGGGAACGACATTGCAGGGAGCAGAGTCTGGGCTGATATTCCACCTCCAGCTCAGGTTACGAGTTCTCCTGTGGTTCACAGTAAGCCTGATGAAAATGAGTTGCAGTTCCCTGAGGTTTTTAAAGCTTGTGTGGTCACACGCTCAAACAAGCTAAAAGCTAAAGCTGAGAATGTAGTTATGGATTGTGCTTTGTCTGTGCCTGTTCTTCCCTGGTCAGTTTCTTGCAGTGATTTGGTGAAGGAGCAGAAGGAGGATGAAAGTCTGAAGGAGCTGTGTGAAATGGTTTGTCCTGCGGCTGAGGTCAGGAATCTGGCTAAATGTTACTTTTTGCACAATGAGATCGTGATGAGGAAATGGACACCTCAATTGGAGGGCTTTGTGGGGGAACCTGTGTATCAGGTTGTGGTGCCTGTGAAATTTCGAGCAACTGTTTTACAGATTTCGCATGACCAGGGTGGCCATCTTGGGGTGAGGAAGACTTATGACCGCGTGCTCAGCTGGGCTTCGCCATGTCTGCTTGTCCCAAAGTCAGATAATACACCTCGCTTTTGCACTGACTTTCGTAAGGTCAACGCGGTGACGAAGCCTGACTCCTTTCCCCTTCCTCGTATGGAGGATTGCGTGGACCAGCCTGCAGTCTCCAAACCAGCGGCTCATGCGCTGGGCCCTCCACCTGCAGTCTTACAGCCTGGACATCCAGCATATCCGGGGCCGGGACAACGCTGTGGCCGATGCGCTCTCCCGGGCGCATTAGGCCGTGAGGAAGCCTGGAGCTTCGTCCCCGCCGTGCTATGCTACGCCGGGACGGCACGGTGGGATTCCCGTGTCCCGGGGCCAACGAATGGTGCGAGGTATGCCAAAATCAGTTTGAGAGGGGTCAAAGTCAAGTTAAAAGTAATGCTGACCGGTTGGTTCCTTCTCCTGGGACTCTTCTATCTGCTAAGTGTAAGCAATGCTGTTAGTTTTGTTTCTGTGGGCTGGTCTAGGACCCATTATGGGCCCTTTCTTGAAGGGGGGGGGTGTTACGGGCAAGGCCTTATGGGGGGCCTGGGCCTTTTCCTGTGTCTCCGTCCTGCCGCTCCTGTCTCCTGTGTGCACAGGGGGGACCAGTTGGCGTTGAAGCAGTGGGCGTGTTCGCACACGCAATCAGCGCACGCGCATATAGCCTGGAGGATAGGTGCACGCGCGCTCTCTGCGCGCTCCTGAGGGCCATTCCACTCCTGCCCTGGTGCCTGTTGCATCTCCTCCCTGGCTCTCCTTCAACATGCACTATTGAGTTTGTCTTTTGGTTTATGCACCTACATTCATATCGCACATACGGCGCCCTCACTGCACACAAGCATTACCTGCACCTACACCACTGACTTCTACATAACACACCCCATATTTACCTTTTTGTATATATTAATATTTGTTATTCCGTTCTCTCAATTAAATATACTTTTGAGCACTTTAATTCCGCCTCGTCTCCCCTATTCTTGTTGTGGCTCAGAGCCAAGCCATAACAATATACAAGTGTGTTTAGCTCTGCAGGAATGAATTGAATTAAACTGTATAATATACTGTTAGCATTGTTTGGTGAGTCCGTTCAGTATTGTTTCCATCTGTCAGTGCGCTGCAGCCTGGAGGGAGTCGGCCTGTGTTCACTTCTCGGGTCTGAACGGCCTTACGCTGATGGACTGAGTGAGAAGACAGCTGTCAGATCAGGCCAGGCAGAGGTGAGCCAGAGAAGCTGCACGTTTGACAAATACCAGGCAATCAGACAAACGGCGAGAGAAAGGAGACGTGATCAATGGGTTTGAAGCCATGTCATGAATCCAGGTGTAAGAGAAGCAGTCCTGACCGAGACGAGAACCTGTCTCTCTGTGCAGTATTACATTGGAGAGCATGAATGACGTCAAAAAATGTGTATTATTGCTGTGTTCCCTCATTATCAGAGTTTTAATTGTGTAAGTTCTCTTCTATTGTCTTGAGCTCTTACTATATCACTTTGAAAGAACCACCCTCTCCCTAATCTGGCCTATTTTTCTGCACTTATTCAGCAACAGTTTTCATATTTGTTTGGTAAAAAAAGATACTTAAATAGAAGTCTTAATTCATTTGCGTCCGGGTCCAATGCATTCTGACTAGATTAGCTCTGACTGTGGAATCAAAAATACACTGTGGCAACTTTTCATGATGCAATGTAAGCACTAAATCACAACAGTTGGTCCAAAGGGAGCGGGATGCCAATGTACATAATGTTTTTAAATGTCTTCTTAAATATTTTGTTGGTGTTTTTGCAGGGGGAACCACTTACAATTCCTTTTTGGAGATAGAGCTTTTCTTTGAACAGGGATAGGTCACAGTTGTCCATAGTGATAAGGGAGTAGTTAATTGAGACGTCCAGGATGCCAAGGGGGATGAGCACAACCTAGGCCAGGGGTCTCCAACCTGTGGCTTGGGAGCTACCTGTAGCTCGCCATCCACTTTCAGGTAGCTCCCCAAAGGATTCACGATTTTAACACTGGATCCAGCATGATTCACTTATTTTAGCTATACATTTTGTTCATGAATCCAGATATACTGTGTGGTATAATGGTGTATAATGTGTTGATTATATTTATTGACTCCCATCTCTGTGAGGAGTGAGAGGACAAGTGCCCAAAAAATAACAATTGTAAACCGCTTTGTGACTCTGGTCTGTGAAAGGCGGTATATAAATAAAGCTTACTTACTTACTTACTTACTTATCAAGTTACTACAGACTACAACTAAAACTCCCCTGTCCTCAGCTCTCTGCACAGGCCGTGGGAGCATTTGGCCAAAGAATCACAACGTTGTCCTCCTCCAATGGAAATAGGTGAGGCTCTACCAGCTTTAAAATTAACCTTTTCATTGGAAACATGGAACCAGCGGAATATGTTTACGAAGCAGCTTCTGAGAGAGAGTCCAGGAACACAGGAACAGCACAGAAGTAAATGGATATAAGCAGAAGATTGGATTGGAAAACTGTCAGAGTATATTTGGACACCACAGTTACAATGGACCAGAGGCGCTGTCTTTGGGGTTATAGCAACACCATGCTCACTTTCAACACTTTCTACACAGCTTTTTTTGAACATAAGAACAACTTTGCTCCATTTCTGCCAATTTCCGAGCTGTTTCATGATTCAGTCGCTTCATCAAATCTTACCCTAACGTTTGAGTATTACCCAAAAAGAACTGCAAACTATTCTTTTCTTTGCCCAACATAGTTCAATCCCCTCTCTCCTGCGTGACAAGCATCAGATGGACTGGGCCTCCTCCTCCACCTCCCGCAGAGCGCTCAAAGTCACCTTAACAAAAATCAGACCAAACTCTCCTCTCTC